ATTGACAAAATAGAATGATCAGGTAAATTAAAATGCTTGTATAGAATTGTTAATTTGAAATCTATGTCCTGATATTCTTATATTTCGTGAACCCATGGTTTCACGAACATAAAACAAGTCCACAAAGATTACATTCTATTCCGAAGGCAACATTAGAAGATTATTTTGCAGTTCAGATTTTCCCAAGTTTTGATATCGAAGCTCTGTCCAGTATGATTACTTGTAAAAGAAGTGTTAGTTATCAAAATGTCACAGGTTTTACAGTTTTTCGCAGAACATTTTGAAATAGAAGACATGGGATCGGAAAAGGAATTTTTAAATATATCTCTAATAAAAACTTTGCATTCCGTCAAATTTTTGTATGAACTATCGGTTTTTATATCAAAACTGGGAATCGGAAGACTGCACATATGACATATATGACATGTATTTAGCCGTTTTTTAAGAGATTCAAAACCTTTGTATGCCTGCATTGGATCCCAATGCATTTAAGAAATAAATAACAAGTTTAAAAACTTCACTGGGAAATGAAGTGGGTCGGTCACGTGATCAAATCCTGTGAAGGCCGAAGGACAATCGAATATTATCGAATATAAATATTGCACAAATATTGTTCGTCGTAGATTTTGACAAAATACGCAAGATGTAAATCGGCTTGAAAAGGGGTTACACTTCAAATTCATCTGGCAAAGGATTATATTTTGAAGGGAATATTCTGTGAAAGGCTACTTTTGATCAATAGTGAGCATATTGGTGTCTGGAAATTTTTGTATTCATGAGAACCCATATTCGATGTTAAAAAAATACACAAGAAACACGTCCAATGTTTCTTAAAAAAAAAGTTGGAGGAATTTCGATCGGAAAGGGATGGATGAAGACACTTGCCCGGACCTGTTAACTTGAAATCAAGAATAAAATTTGATCAGAAACATAAAACCTACGATTTCAGTAAGGTATATTTATTATGATGTCGACAGCTTACATTGTTAAGATAGCGCTATTCGCCATCTGTATGTTTATATAAAAGAAAGATACCACAAATGTATATATTTGTTTTAACTTCAGTTACTGAACTTTTTAATCTGAGACACGTTTAAATCTGTGTTCCTTTCATGAATTAAATGATTCTTTATATATTAACTTATTTTTTTTTTATATACATAATTCACACATTATATAATTTTAGACCTATTCATCGATACTGAGATCAGTATTATGCCAAATATTTTAAGAAAAAAAATATTGTGTGAAAGGAGTGGGTTTTAAATATAAGATGCATTTTAATATTTAAGAAACATCCTTCTAGATCATTCCAATTCGTGTAACAGTTGATTAAACTGTTGTATATAGTGTATTCTAGATTTGAGCTGTTTCAAAACAACATGAGAATTAATAGAAGAGTGCAGCGCGCACTTTTTAAATAATTTGTAAAGAACACATTTTATTCTGAGGAAAGTAAGGATTATTGTTAAATCGTCTGAGGTCATACAAAACGTGTAAAAGTAGTAAAAATGTGGGCAAGGTACTTACATGAACATTTTCCCGCCACTGTCCTCAATCTTTGAAAGGACTGATTTTGTACGTTGATGAAAAATTCGCCTTGTTGATATGGATGAACTTACAACGGGGGTGGGGGTGGGGGGGTATTTGATAGGTTTTTAATAGATAATCAAGAGGGCCAGAATGGTCAACAGGTAATTCAGAGCAGAATTTTATAAGGAGGATTCTAGAATGCTTTGTTAAATAATCAAATAACTTAAAATTTTCCCCGCCGTTTAATTTAAGGCTATTTTTGTAACTCAAAAAAAAAATGTTATTAATCTTCTTTTACAGCATCCTACCTACAGGTCAAATATAAAAAAAGAATTATTGATGTCAATAATATTTGAAATTCTTGATATGAAAAAATAATATTTGATATCAATATTATTTCTTAATGTAGACTTATTGCATATTTGATATAAAAAATTATTTTCTGAGGGAAGTTTTATCATGTCATGCATAAATATGTTTCGATAAGTATATATTTCGTTACCAAAAAATAAATGGAATGTAGAAAAACTAAAAAAAACAAGTAACGGCTATTGATGATTCCGAAAAGTTTCGGAAATGGTTAAATCGCCCGTTTACCTAATGACGACGTAACAGACATAAAACAAATTAAACAATAGAAATGAGGTGGGTTTTTTTTACCAGACCTGTTGACCATTAAATGGAACAAGAAAAAAAAACTTGTCAAATAGATTTAGATTATAACATATTTTACATCGTTAAATGGAATGTTGCCGTAATAAAACAATACGCTTTTATAAAAGAAAAAAAAATAGAGCTGTGAAAACACATGACCTAGTTTGTGGCATTTACGGATGGCTACTTCTTGTACCTAATTAAGTTAGGCATTTTGAACATTAGATTTACCATTTCAAACAAGGTTAACTTTTCTTAAATAGGATTTTTATGATAAACTTAAAAAAAAATAGAGGTCATTCGTATTTCACCGAAGTCACTATCCGTTTTGTTTGATCTACATATATTAAAAGTGTCAAATCACCTGAGAGGTATCATATTACACACAAAAACAAGTATTCAAACATAGACGAAGACTGTAAGTAATATTTCTGCATTTAACCTGAATCTGATTTAAAGGTAAATTCATTTATAACGCGTGCCTTCTTATTTACAAATGTTAGCATTTATCTTAACACAAAGCAGTCAAAATCACAACCCTTAATACTAGAGCACTTTCCGCGTATGTGTTAAGAGAAAGCTTCAAGTTTAAAGGTAAGAAATTAATTGTACTTATAGTTGTCTTTCATTTCAGTAGAGTAAATAAATGAAGTTTAAGTTTTAAAAGTCTTTTAAAAAATTATCGTAGAAAGACGGAAGAAATGGTGCTTGAAAGAGGATTAACAGCTGAATAATAAAAATCAATTTTTATCGTTTATATCATCGGTTTTGCTTTAGTTTATTTATATTTTTATTTTTTCTGTATTTTGCAATAGTAGAACTAAAGAAATACAATTTATGGAAGGCCTTTGTCGTTCTTCATCACAATTACAATGGAAGACGTCACAATGGCTACCAGTCCTTTTTCTCCTTGGAAAAGGTTTACAGTTGACCTTGCACTTATTATGAGTACATACTATTGTGATATGACAAAATGCTATACGCTAGTTGATACAGTAATCAAGCATTGGATCACAGTTTGTAAAATAGAATGTAATTTGAAGTTAGAAATTCAATTTGATTTTGAATTTATTGACTTTTGTTTAAATTGAGAAAAAAAGCTTTGATTATATTTTGTGAAGTGTGAGATTAGCCATAATTCTTAGCTCAGAGCAGGTTAGTATAGAAAAGTATGGTTATTGAAGTCACAGAATTAAACAATTTGTGGGGTTTATTTTTCAAAAACTTATTTTTATAACGAAATGAGTTAAGGTATGTCACTCGTGAAATTTGTTATATCAAGGATTTTTTTAGAGGTATATTTTAGATAAGTACTCATATAGCATGACTCAAAATCATAAAGAAAATGGGGGTTGGGGGGGGGTTGGGGGGGGGGGGGTCAGTGTGCATCTTACTGAGCTACGGTACAATTAAGTTGACCTTTTTGCACTGAAATTGTAACTCTTTGGTTAATCATTTTAATCTTTATCATAGTTTATCAGATGTAATTATGGCAATAAATATTATCTTATTTTACGTAAAATAGTTTGAATAATATTTATCATTGAACAAATCATGCAGGTTAATGCGCATAAATTATTGTGTGACCTTTTTGCACTAAAAAAAAGTATCATATTTGGGGTATAAAAAATCTAATTAAAATATTTTCTTGTATCAAATTTTTTATGACTTAAGTGCAGATCGGTTGGAAGCATCGTGTTGTTTAAAATAATGAAAGAAAAAGCTAGGGTCAGTGATGTAAATTTTGAGATAGTGGTCAAAATGTGCGATTTTCAGGCAAAAAATGGTGTAAATTTTATCTTGACTTCTTTAATATATCTTCATTTTTTGGCAAAGTCTGTTGAGTGAATGTGTAAAATTTGTTCTAAAAATATAAATTGGGACCTATATTTAATATTCTTAGCATATCATAACGGAAAATATTCTCCAAGTAAAAGTATGTGGGGCTAAAGTTCCAAGATATTAAATTTGACAAATGTGTAAATTTGAAGAATTTTCTTCTAAATATCCTTCCACTACAAGAAAAAGTCCCTCATACATCTTTCTTCTTTATGAATCTGTGAGAGTTTTTTAATTGAATGTTGAATAATATGCCTTGTTGAATTTAAATGTGTTATAAAAATTGAATTGTAACAAACAGTTTTGAAGTTAAAGGTTCTGACTGAACTTTTCTAAAAATCTGACGAGTGACATTCTGCACCTTAAGCTAAGTGTAAGAATTTGAAGAAATGCCCCAAGATTTATTTAGGCCAAGGATGTTTTGTGAGATTTGATACAAAGGATGGGAATTAATTTGTCCAATGTAAACTCAAAATATCTGCAGAACTGTAGTTCTCCAGGACAGAAAATTGGACACAACTACAGATGACAAGGAATGACAAGGAACGGGTGTGACCGGGGATGCTTACTCCTCCTTGGCACCTGATCCCACCTCTGATGTTTTAGAGGTCTGTGTTTGCTCTACTTCTGATTTGTATTGTTTCGAGGACTTTTGAGCTTGATTACTGTTCGTTATCTCCATATTTTATAAATACATAGATAAAACCTTCGATCTACAGTACCTATTTTTTTGGCAAGCTTCCGGAATCAATTCTTACGTTGAATACATTACCCATCCTAAAGCAAACTTCATTCTATCCTAATAGCGCTATAACGGGTGACATGGCTCCTTGGGACTCTGTAGCTTACATGTACGTGTACAAATAATTTTAGATAAAAATGTTAAATGAATGATAAAGATTACCTTGCAGAAATCACTTCATTATTTTGTATTACTTGTGAAGATTTTTTTTCTTCAGAAAACTCTGTTCGTAATGACGTATAATCTCCACATCATGGCCATGCTAAAGTTCATTAGTTCGTGTAAAGTACGACAGTGTTCTGAATGTCAGGAAGACACAGAATTCTACTGTAACACGTGTAAATATGATTTGTGTGTACAGTGTAAAGAGAGACATGTTATTGATCTAGATACCATATACCATGATGTTGTGATTTACCGTGAAAAATACGAAAACATCTTAAAACAAGAGACTTGTGTTAAACATCAAGACAGAATCTATGAAAAGTACTGTCATTCGTGTGAAATTCCCGTATGCGTCCAATGTAATGTTCATAGAAAAAATAAAATACTTAGATTTTGTTTCCAATATACAAATCACACAAAACACAAAATACTGGACATTCGAACAGCTTATAAAACAGGCCGCCAACAACACAGAAGAATAATTCACGGCATCAGAAGTGAGACTCTCTTTAACAGTTGTTTTCTACTCACAGGCATCAAAACTAATATGAAAACTTGCCACACCGAAATTTCCAACCGTCATTCAGACACGTCCACAAATGCCCAGAGATTAAGGGATCTCATTGACAATGTGATGTGTGAGATTAAAAATAGTTTCATTCATACATTACAAAAACAAATGATAAAAATGAACAGATACGTTGCTAATATTGAGTACTGTGAACACAGATCTGAACGTTCAGGAAACAGACCAGTTGAATTTCTCTCTTTCTTTAAGAAAACTCTTGCTCCCAAGATACATCACAGTCTTAATCTTACCCAACACACCCTGGTCCCCCTGACGGAGGAAATTAACAGACAGGATTTAATTAAGTTATTAACAGATACTCATATCAGAGAATCTGGTAAAAGACAAGTAAAAAAGGAAAATCTTCTGAAAGTGATGACTTCACCCGTCCTACAAAGATCTGTCACAGTGACAGGTGTGAATCGTGTGATACATATTTCCTGTCTGAATTCAGACCAGTTCTGGATTAGTGATAGGCATAACAATCTTATCTTGACAAACTCATCTGGTGATACACTACATTATCTGACAGACATAAGCAGCTATATGTGGAGTTATGCAGCACACACAGTGAACATTTCAGGTGATCTCATTTATATAGACAGGGATTTTAACATTAAAATAATACATACAGATAACAGAACAAAATTTACTCTGATAAAGAAAGCAGGACCATGGATGCCAGTCTGTGTTTATTGCTCCACTTCCAATGGAGATCTATTAATTGGGATGCATAAAACAGATACGTATACAGCCCGAATTAACCGATATGATAACACAGGACAATACATACACGCTATAAAATGCACCGGTGCTGGTCAGGAACTGTATAGAAGACCTAGGTACATTACGGAGAACAGCAATGGAGATGTTATTGTGTCCGACTTAGACCGTGTAGTGGTGACAGAATATGAAGGTTCACATCGATTCTCCTATACAGGTCCTCCAGCTTGTACTGGACTAGCACCGCATGGAATCTGTACAGACGTGTTGTCACACATCCTGGTTTGTGATGATAACACTGAGACAATACAGATGATTGACAAGGACGGTCACTTCCTGTCACTAATACCAATTGATCAACAAGAGATAGAGAGACCACGGGTCCTGGGTTATGATGACAGAACTCATCTTCTCTGGATTGGTTCATGGGACAGCAACAAATTCTGTGCATATAGATACATTCAAAGACAGGACCATCTGACAAGAAATTATAATCAATACATATAAATATAGACACGGGACTGTGTGGCAGACAATTGTACCTAGGACATTAGATGCATAGTTGCATGCTGATACATAAATATCTGATGGGATGTTGTATTTAATTAATAAGATACACGTACAGATACAAACACTGGAGTTACTGATAGATAGGTATAGACAAAGGACTATCTGATAGGTCATTGTAATTAGTTCATCAGATACAGGCACACATACGACTATTTAACATATCATTTCCATTAGCTTATTAGATTCATGTACATTAATATAATACACGGGACTATCTGACAGTACATTGAAGTTTTTAGTCTATATACTGAATACTAAGAGGTGAAGAGTCTCTTGGGCTCTAAGGGTAGGTTAAGTCACATGTAGGTCACATGTACCCTTTAAATTTCATCGTTATTCATCGTAAGATTCTTTTAGTTCGAAAATTGTCACAAACTATGGCAAAAATGAGGTCTAGATGCAGATGTATATAGGATCGAATGTCTCACTTTCTGATATTGTTACTTTTAATGATTATTAAACCCTGTAAATTGATGCATTTTGAGGCTTCACGTCATTTAAAGCTTATAATAAGTTACATTGAAAATTTTGGACTTTACGACTTTTTTTATATTCAAGTCCTCTTAGCATCTTGGATACGAAGAAATATCGTATAACTAGGACAAGGAAATTGGATCTCTGTAATACTTTTAACCTTAAGATAAATCACAATTCTACAATTGGGAAGTATTTAAAAATACAAATAAGGAATACTTTGCAGTTTAGGGTCACCAAAACTAGAAAGTTGATATAAGTTCGAGCCAGAGTTGCACAAGTCAAAAATACTGTCAACTGCGAATTTTTTGTAGCTTTGATATTCGTCTATTTGTTTGTAGAAATTTGATATCAAGGATCTTCAAGCCTTGTTGATTTATACATTACTAGGAGTGTCAAACAAAACGCTGGTATTAGTGATCACCTAAAGTTAAATTTTCTGATAGATTTTTGGGAGCACGGCCCCATATACATCTAAGTATAGACGATACCTAAAACGAGAAGTCTCGTCAAAGCAATATGAGCTGCAACTTTGATGTCGGAAATTTTTGTTGCAAAATTGTAGTTAACTATTGCAATGACAGAAAAAAAAAGAAAATTTATAAATTTCTTTTGTACATATTTGCAATGGAAGATCTATTTATATTTTTTTTATATATATATTTTTTGCTCTTTGATTGGAGCAAAATCACATTATGGTCGTCCTGTACAATATTGATTTATTAGATAATACTTTACATTCCATTGTACAGAAATATTTCTTCTGAAACTATTTAATACATTATTTTCATCTAATTGATCATAAAAGTTTATGTTTCTTACAGATTTATCATAAAAGCACATTTTAACTGCGAAATAAAATTTCCAAAAATGCAGCTCATATGGCTTAGAAGATCTAGACACTTTAATGAATGAAAAAGAATATAGGGACGTAAAAAAACAGGGCAAGGATTGTGGCATTTAAAGATGGCCGATAATTGCTCTTTTTGAATAAAAATATATACAGAACATTTAAATTTTTTCAAATAAGATCAATAAAACCTCTTGAGATGTTGTAAAATTCTTGTTTGAATTCATGACCTGCCACGAGGGACTTTAGAAAAATGCGAATGTAAAGAAAGTCATAATATTTGAATGCTTATTTACATGTAGCTTTATAAATGTCAAATCTAAGCTGTATAAAATAGGTATTGATTGTGTAATTCGCCAGGCGCTTGGCATAGAAGTAAGAGTCATGGGTTTTTCAGATGTGTCCTCAAACACTGAGGTCATGTATCACATTGGCGGTAGCACGATAAAGATCACTCACTAGTACGGCAGTAAGCACCATAAATATTCTCAAATTGGAAGCTAAACAATAAAATATTAATCAATTGATCATTTTATACTTTCATTGCAAAGTTTTAGTGTTTATACATGTATGCTCAGGATAAATGGGAACAAGTAGAAGTGTCTGTAGCTTTTCCTACTAGATACAAATTTTCCGAGATATTTTTTATTTAAATCATAATATCAACAGATGTTCTTAAACAAAAAAATAGCAGGCGCTTTAACAGGTGTTTTGAACAGATATCAAATAATGAAAATCCTCGTGTATGTAAAGAAAAAATAATAAAGAAATAATTTTAGATTTTATTTCCTTAAACTTTGATTCAGAGCAGGAGTGCAGCATTAACAAGCATCATAAAATTGCACAAAGGTCTTCCAATTATTTGATTTCTTTAAGGAATGAATTTAATAGCTACCCAAGTTATACTGGTAAACCTGGGTTAGGGCAGTTTACGCTTTATAAACCGTGAAATTCATTCCTTATAATTCAATTTTCCATCATAAGGTGTAGAAAAATAAGACAATTTCTCCTTCAAACATGCTTCAAATTGTACATACTTCAAATGTAACGTTAAGCGGATTGATACTTTTTTGACGCAGCCCGCGTGGCGCAGTGGTTAGAGCGTCTGCGCTAGAGTCGCGAAGTAAGTTGATCCTTACGTCGCGGGTTCGAATCCCACTGTGGGACGTGGAGACCGTTCCTTCGAAGATGACCGTATAAACCTAGGTCCCGTGTCGCAGTAGGTGCTGGCACGAAAAAGATCCCTCACTGCTCAATGGCCCAAAGTGTTGTTTTTTTTTTCTTCCTTCCAGTACTTTGGCATGTGCTTGTAACTTACCACACCTAATGATTATAGGTTTTTGAAGTGATTGTTCATGTGTTTACATTTGATGCTGCATCCGGGCTACATTTCACACTTCAGTGAAAAAGACCATAGAAAGACTTGAGCTTGTTAAAAGTTTATAAACTGTATATCCCCATATAAATACACTATTTCACTACATAAATTCCAAGGGTTTTATTTTGGAGTTCCTATAGTGGTTATATCGATTCAGCATCAAAATATTTATTCTTATTATATTTCAGTATGGCATTCTGATTTTCAGTATGTCATTTTAGGAGAACAAATCTAAGAACCCCTTATTTAACTTCTATTTTTCTTATTTTTTTATGGTTTATGATATAAAGTGTAAGTGATGATAGTTTGTTAAAAGTCGTATTTATAAGATATGTTTTAATGTTTAAGTGCACTGTAATAGTTATCGTTCATATGCAAGCGGGGTAAAACAAAAAAGTTGTTAGCTTAAATTCGAGGAAAACTCGATGCCGTGTTTTAATTAATAATAATTACGCAGCACAGTTAAGGCTGCAATAAGGAGGCGTGGCCTAATTTTTACGGGAAATGCTTACTATGACATCACACAAAAATACATGTTCTTCAAATTACCACAAAATGAAATGATACGCTATTTTAAACTGTTGGATAGCTTTAAACTACATCAATGCTTATTATTGCTTGTATTTTTGTCGTTGGTTAAATTCCACACAACAATATGTAAACAATTCACTGATCGCAATGCACTTGTCAATGTGACGTCATATCGTAAAATTTGACGCAGTTTGTGTGCAGTGAGAGGCGGATCAAGTTATATTTTATACAATGAAAAATATGTTTTGTAATTGAATAAAATATTATTTGCAGATATATAAGAGGCCATTAACTTGGATGCGATGTCTTTTTTATGATTTTATTCATATACTTCAAGTACATTCCCTAGACAAGTGAAACTGCCGTATATTTGTATGCAGATTCATTGAAGGGTAATAGAAGGGTCGTAATAAATCGATATATTGCAAGGGCATACCCTCAATGAATTACGACAAGCTTTTACACATAAACTCAAGAAGTATGAAGATATTTGAAAAGTGCTGCGAACCTGTTGAAATCTTGCAAATGAATTAATTATATCTACATTTAATGTCCTTGACCAGTAAAATATTCAACATACGGTCTAACAAATGTAATTTTAGCAATTATATAATAGAATCTATATAGGTTCGCAGCACTTTTCACAAACTACAAAGAGTGTTGAAAATAATTATAAATTAAACTTCGATTTTTAACTTGGTTATGCCCTTGCATGACCTCAATACTGCAGGTATATTTGCTAAAATCACGTGACTGCCACATTACATGACAAATCTAAATAAGAAATATAAACGTCCTCAACATGTAGTTTTCAGCCACATTACATTTGTCCGATAATATTAAAGGCCTAAAAAGAATCGCCCATCCTTGTAAAGAATGTATTTTCTGTCTAAAAAATTCGCCAATATTTCCATTTGGCACCTTAACTGTACTGCGTAATTTCAATCATATTGAATTGTGTGTATACCTGTAAATCATCTTTTATTCACGAGGAACTTATTTCGCGTAATTACGCAAGGCGGTCTCTCGCGTAAATTTTTGTTAACATACATTATATTTAACAAAAACCAGAATTCGTTGATATTTTATCTCGCTTATAAATATACCAAATACATATATATAAAAATAACGTGTCGCGAAAGTATGGTGATCTACAGTACTGGTTTTCTATTGAACTCGAAATAAAAGACACAGCAGAGTCTGATTCATTCTTGGATTTTCTCCTAAAGAAAGATAAAGAAATGATAAAAGTGATGATGTTTCATCGGCAATTTCCCTTATTTATGTGCAATACACCATTATCACCTGCATATGGGGTTTATGGGTTTTGGGTTTAAAGGGTATACTTAAGGAGGTTGGATCCTGCCATCAAAAGTAATGAGAATTTTTTATCAAGTATATTTTTAGAATTTATACACATAGCTTTATTAAAAATCAAAACAAAAAATGGGGGTCAATGCGCTTCTTTTGGCGCTACAGAGCATTTAGTTTGACCTTTTTGCACTGTAAATACGTCTTACACATAAATCAATTTTTAAAGTTTTTCCTTCAATATTTTTTGTTCAAATAAATTATGGTGAACAAACACAGTCTTATTTCATCTTAAATAGACACATTAAAATTTGTAACAACGAAGAAATTTTTGAATTACTCCGCATGTTCAATTATTTGACCTTTTTGCACTCAAACATTTTCATTTTTCTG